CCTACTGAAATAGCTAGCTTGAAATTAATAAATATGCTCTGTTAAAAGTTGAAAAATAAACCCATCATTTTGTTTTAATCATTTTACTTATGAGGAAAAAAAGATGAAGAAAAATAAGGCGGATTGGAATGTGCTTATCATTACAAACAGTAAACACTTTTAATTGCCCTGTGAATGAATTATCATCCAACTACCATCATAACTTCTCTTCTCATATGTTTTGGTTTGAGGGAAAAGAAAAATAAAGAGATTTGTATAGTAGGGTACAAAAATTTATCATACATGCTTTTAGATAGTCAGATTTTCATCAGCCAGCCACCATCCTAATTTTTCTGCTCTTATATTTTTGTTTGTCATGAAGGAAAAGAAAAATAAAGTGAATCCTATAATAGCGCAAAAAAAAAAAAAAAAAAAAAAAAAAAAAAAAAAACAAATCATTAGTGTATGGTTATAGTCGTCATATTTTCTTCAAATTATTTTAAATTTAAATATTAATTATGTAATTTTAACACTCCCGTCTGGTATGATATTGTCCGTTTTGAGATTGAACTCGCATGGTTTTATTTTTAGGCCTCACCCCAAAAGACCTCATACCATTGAGAGGTGATATCATTACTTATAAATAAGGACTTATCTACATCCCCAGACGATGTGGGACTGCACAACTTACCCTTTGTTGGCCTTGTGCCTTAAGACATTGATGGTTGTCACAATCACCTTTCCTTATGGGAGCCCAACGTCCTCCTTGGCTACATTTTCGGCTTTGTAGAGACTCTGATACCATATGTAACGACCCGCACCCTCACCTGGTATGATATTGCCCGCTTTGAGCCTGAGTCTGGACGATTTTGTTTTTAGGTCTCACCCCAAAAGGCCTCATACCATTGAGAGATGGTATCATTCCTTATAAACCAGGACCTATCAACATCCTCAAGTGATATAGGACTGCACAACTTACCTTTTTTTAACATTGTGCCTTAAGGAATTGATAGTTGTCGATGCACATATATTTTTAGACTATGTCACATAATTGTCGGAAAAATAAATGTGAGAAGTAACTGTGACTGGCCTCCTGTGTTAGAATGTTATCTGGGAAGTGAAGCAATTACCTAAGTTATAGATTTAAACTTACTCTATGCCCACAAAAGTCTTCGGAAGGTGATTTGGTGGTGTATATGTAAATTACCAAGGTATGATATGTTGTCAGTGTAGAATGTTGCTGAAATCATTATTGCTTTTAAGTGAAAAAAGAAAAAATTGCTATAATTCTTTTTCATTTATGCCCTCAATGTAAGTGGAGCTGGAGCCCAGCCAACATGTGTTGGCAGAGTCACTTTTACATGGTTCTGAACATATTCTAGAAGATTCCCAACTAGAAAAAAAAAAGCCTAAAATAACGGATCTATAGCTACACTACATCAAGGCAAATGATTGGTGTTTATAAGCCAATCTCAATTTTTAAGCCATTAGAACACAAACCACCGATATCGTCAAACCTATATAATCTTTTGGAAAATCGTCATCTTTTTTTTATTTATTTATTTATTAAGAGCCCGTTTGGTTAGAGGATTCGTTCTCTGATTCGAATCATGGTTCATAATTCGCTACAATATTTTCTCTCACAAAAAATACACGTAAATCAAAAATAATTATAATCTCATAGTTTTAATTCATGAACCAAACGGGCTCTAAATTAAATTTTTATTTTGTATAATTTTAATTAGTTTTGAGGTTTATAAAGGTCACTAGGTGTACCCTACCTAAGAAAGCTTCAAAAAGAAAGAAAAAAAATAGACAAACTTGGTAATGGTATTTAAGGTGATGTTTAGTAGAGGAATTCGTTATCTGATTCGAATCATGATTCGTGGTTCGTTACAGTATTTTCTCTTACAAAAAATACACGTAAATCAAAAATAGTTCTAATCCATGAACCAAACGGACTCTAAGTTTGATAATTTATTTTTAGAAAGCCAATATTGTCTAGAAAACCATTGAATGGGTTTGATTTTCTAGAAAATCAATATTAGACAACTCTAAGCTGCCCAACTTTACAAATTACAAGTTGGTAGTTGCATGGCCCAGAAAGCCGTCCAAAATACGTATACACCACTAATAATGCCGAAAGAGAATTTAATCCATTGTATATTCCATAATTTCCATTCCACCAAAAAAATCAAACTCAAAAAAGGCCTCTGAAAAGCACTTGGGCGGCTAGGTCGGCATGCCCTTATTTGAGCAAGAATCCAAATCATGTTTTACTTGAGGGCTAAGAAAAAAAAAATATTTGAAAAATACAGAATCATGACTCGACTGAAAATATTAAAATCCCATTTAAGTCTTTCATAATTATTTTCCAAGTTCAGCCTTCAAATTTGGCTATCAAATTTGGCTGATTAGGACTGATTTTTCTTATTAATTACTTGGCAATGCTTTTAGTCGAATGGATTAAGCCTCCTTAATCATCACCTACCTTTCTTGTCTCCCATTCCAAGCTTTTAATTTTATTTTTCTTTATTGATTATGATTTAATTATATTTAAGGCCTACACACTAGCAATTTCTTGCTGAGCCATTAATGCTACGGTATAAAGTATATATTTTTTCTGTTGTTTATTTTTCTGACTAAGATTTGCAACATGTTTGTGGGAAGAATCCTAAAATGACTCTGTTATCAACGCTTTTTTTTTTTTTTTTTCTTTTGACGGAAAACTTTAGTTATCAATGCTGACAACTCGAGATTTTGAATATTTCTAATGTAAGACTGTCAACTTTAACAACATCAGTTTTGTAATAATTTATTAACTTTCTCCCTTTTTCTTGTTGTGTGTGTGTATTTTTTTTTCGTGTCTTTGTCCATTGTTTGAACGGTTAATTTCAGTAAATTATCGTTTAAATTTAATATATTGTCACAAATTATCTTCGCATCAATGAAAACCGTTAAAATTTGAAAAGATACGTTAGAATGAATGCAAAATTGATGTCGTTAAAATTTGAAAGGATACGCTAGAATGAATGCAAAATTGACGTTCTTAGTCATCGTAGAACATTCAAATCTATACCCTTCAAATGAGATTAGACGACATGTAGGTTTTTTTTTTATTTATTGATACCACTTCAACTTTACGGTTTGACAAATTGATCACTCAACGTTTAATCTGACAATTCACCTCTTAAACTTTAAAATTCGTTCTAATGTTAGTGAAATTGAAATTTAGATAGTTTCTTTTAAATGTTTAATGAGACTAATTCTAGTGTTTTTCCATATCGAATTGGTCCACATACACACATCATGAGTGAAAAATTTTTAAAATTGGAGAACACCAATTTTTCTCCCAAAGCGATTAATCTTTAATTTAAAAAAAAAATCGCTCATGATATATGGGGACCAACTAGATGCAAAAGAGATCAAAATTAACCAAATTAAACGTTCACGTGGAAAAAAACCATATAAATTTTTAACTTCGTTTTCAATTTGACTAACATTGTAACAATTTTCAAAGTTTAAAAGATGAATTGCCGATATTAAAAGTTAAGAGATCAATTTGTCAAACTCATAAAGTTGAGAAGGTGTTCGTACAAAAAAAAACGTGACGTGTATGATGACATTTCTATCCAAATTTTAACAATTATTTTAGGGATATTTTGTAATATTTTATTACTCTAAGATAATAACTTTCCGAATGGTAGAAAAGTTCAAGAAATAAAAGCCCCATATACATATATATATAATATATATATATATATATATATATAAATTATCTTTCCTTTTCGGAGCGTTTGGTGAGCTTCTTTCAGCTGGCTGGAGTATAAAGCTGCATCACATATTATGTTAGCAAATTAATCAAATTGAAGTAATGGGGTTAGTGGTTTTACTTTTACAATCTTAAGATAAATTGGCCGATTTGCATAAAGTTGTATTTCATGATAGTAGAAAGAAAATGAGTAAACTCTTCGTGTACAAAGTGGGCGGATTTCAAGTTGCATAAATAAAACCGGATTGTCTCATGTCGCATCTCGGTGATTTTTTTCGTTGGCGGCTTTCCGTTTTGTCTCGTCTTTTTCTTAATTTTAGCGAGGATGTAATCCTCTCTCACTATTTATTAAAAGAATTGCTCTGTTTTAGAATGTATCTCTTCCTTATTACCTCCAAACTCACACTGCAAAACGCCACTTTCAAACAGCAATTATTTGATTCCGATTCTCTGTTTTATATTGTTTGCTCAAAAAGTAGGATAAAACCCCGTTCATTTTACTGATTCGAGTTTAAAATTAAATCGAGTTTAAAATTTAAATTTTACTGCAGTAAAAAACTCTAAAAAATAATCGCATCTAACTTTTTTACTACAGTAAAAAACTCTCACACAATATCACATCTCAATTCAAATTAAAAATTCAAATTAACGAAAAACTCTCACACAATATCACATCTCAATTCAAATTAAAAATTCAAATTAACGAACCGAACGAATTGTCTCCTCCATACGGATTCAAAAGAACTTTTGTCATGCTTGAATTTGAAATGCTCACTATTGTATCGCTTTGAAAATTTTTCAAAGTAATAAAACTCAAATTGAGTCTTAAGCTACCATTCATACTTCCCCAGTAACAACTACCGTTCATGCAAGAGCAACTGCAGTTTACACGACGTTTCCACCAATTCCATTGACGATATTTTTTATTTTATGCTTTTGTCCAAAAAAAACCAAAACATCAGCGTATTTTTATCATTTTAATATTTAAGATTAGATACTTGAGTGAATCACAAGCTCGAAATCTACTCTTACACATACAAAGTTAAATCATTTCACTATAAATTTATAATCTCAATTAATTAATCATGTTTTGTGCGGAAATTGAAATAGAAACCTAATAAGATTTAACACACTTACCAAATATAATGAAGGTGACGGGTATAAAAAAACAGTAAAAAACTAGAGGAAAACATTTTTTTATAATTAAAAAAGAAAAAAAGGAAAACATTCTCTCAAGCTTTCAAGCCAGTATTTTAATATAATTTCATAGCAAGTTTATGACCGCAAACTGACACTAACTGAATTTCAGATACAATAACTATTAACATTAATGTTCTCTGGGTGGAAAAAACCGTCAAAATATTGGGAAAAGAAAAAAATAAAAGATTAAAAAAAAAACACAAATCACTCTCCAACTACAAACATCCTACAGAAAGAGACGGGTTGAACCATAGATATGATGATCATCATGATGATGGGCTGCGAGGGAGTTTGAACCAATTTATCGCCCACATACAAGAGGGCCACTGCAGATAAAAAAGCTTCTCTCACAAAGAACGATGACAAGCGTGAATTCAATGACCCCAATTTTATCCTTCTCTCAATTCAATACTTGTCCACTTCAACCAAACTGAGTTCACATGACACATGACACAAAAAAAAAACCCAACTAAATGTAAAAATAACTCACCATCAAAGCACTTATAAAACTCAGAAGCACTTCCTGTGGACAATTGACGGACCAGACTCGTCGTACTCGCCCTTGGAAATCCACATCTGAATCAACAACAGAAACAAGCATATTAGAATTACAATTCGCCAAGTGGGTTCGATAAATAATTGGGGTTTACCTAGGAAAGATTTTTACCTGCTGGAAGGTACTGAGGGAAGCAAGAATTGACCCTCCAATCCAGACACTGTACTTTCTCTCTGGTGGAGCAACAACCTTAATCTTCATGCTGCTAGGAGCAAGAGCTGTGATCTCCTTGCTCATCCTGTCTGCAATACCAGGGAACATAGTTGAACCACCACTGAGCACAATATTTCCATAGAGATCTTTTCTGATATCCACGTCACACTTCATGATAGAGTTGTAAGTGGTCTCGTGGATTCCTGCAGCTTCCATTCCAATGAGAGATGGTTGGAAGAGGACTTCTGGGCATCGGAATCTCTCAGCTCCGATTGTGATGACTTGGCCGTCAGGCAGCTCATAGTTCTTCTCAACCGAGGAACTGCTCTTGGCAGTCTCGAGTTCCTGCTCGTAGTCCAAGGCAACATAAGCCAGCTTCTCCTTCATGTCACGGACAATTTCCCGTTCCGCAGTGGTGGTGAACATGTAACCTCTCTCAGTAAGAATCTTCATCAAAGCATCTGTGAGGTCACGTCCAGCAAGGTCGAGACGGAGGATAGCATGGGGAAGGGCATAACCTTCGTAGATTGGTACGGTGTGACTCACACCATCACCAGAATCCAACACAATACCTGTTCAAAGTTTCCAATTTAGCAAAATGATAAACAATAGCTGTAGAAAAATAACAATTCAAATGGTTGTGGATGCTAACCAGTTGTACGACCACTGGCGTAAAGGGAGAGAACGGCCTGGATGGCAACATACATGGCAGGCACATTGAATGTCTCAAACATGATCTGGGTCATCTTCTCTCTGTTAGCCTTGGGGTTCAAAGGAGCCTCAGTGAGAAGCACTGGGTGCTCTTCTGGAGCAACACGAAGCTCGTTGTAGAAAGTGTGATGCCAAATCTTCTCCATGTCATCCCAGTTGCTGACAATACCATGTTCAATGGGATACTTCAAGGTAAGGATACCTCTCTTGGATTGGGCTTCATCACCTACGTAAGCATCCTTTTGACCCATCCCAACCATAACACCAGTGTGTCTGGGACGACCAACAATACTTGGGAAAACTGCCCTGGGTGCATCATCACCAGCAAACCCAGCCTGCATATAGAAATAATAAAATTCCTATTAGAAAATTGCATCTAAAATTGACAAAACTCCATTAACAATAAATAGAACATTTGAGCTTATTCACTGGAGCAGGAAAAGAAAGGACTAACCTTCACCATTCCAGTACCATTGTCGCAGACGAGGGGCTGAATATCCTCTGCATCGGCCATCTTTTATAAACCTGCATAAAAATTATCGCAGTTACACTTAGAATCGGAACTAAATACATCACGCTGTCACTGTGAAATGTTTTTCTTTTCATAAAAAAGTTGGATACTGTTTGGACTATTTTCTATTCAGTAAGCTAAAAAAACAAACAGGTAAAATTCAAAATCATTCAGAGCCAAAAAAAAAACTAAAATTCAAAATCATCAAGAAAATAAAATATTTTATTCGTGATCAAATTTATCTTTTAGTAAGATCTGGAATTGTTAGATATCTTTCAATCAGTTGCAGATTCCCTATCCCATTCATAAATCGGGAAATGCACGCACATGAATCATGGTCTTAATTATTAAATCTAGCTTAAATCGGAAGGGAAAAGGATTAGATTATTTTAATTAAGTCAAAAAAATCATAACTTTTTCTCCTCATTTTCATATACAGCTTAAAATCTCAAAAGAACACAAATTTCATACGGTTTGTGGAAATTAAACATCCATACATGCAGTTAACGAAATCAAAACAAAGAAAGATAGATAGATCTAGAGCAAAAACGAGATTAAAGTACAAAATTAAACAGAACAACACGATCGGACAAACAAAAACACTTCAGATCCACAGAAAAGAGAGATCAGATCAGGCAACCAAACCAAAAAAAAAAAACCCCGATCTAGATCATCACTCCATCAAAAACACAAAATTTAACATCTTTATCAGTGAAACACATCACAGATCGCTAAAAAAACCAAAGATTCAGCTCCAAGATGAAGGAAAAACCTAGATCGGCAAGCGAATCCGCAACGAAACTCACCGATCAGACAAATCCAAGAAATTCTCAGCTGAAACAAAAAAAGAAAGGGAAAAGAATAGCAAGATCGGCAATGATTACCTCGAGAATGAAGAAAGCGAATCGCGATCGGAGAAGAAGAAGAGCAAGAGAAATCCTCGGTTCTCGCACTCTTCTTGCTTTGTCTGGAGACGGCGGAGATGAAAATGGGAGGAGAATAATAAGGAGAGGAAGGTTTGTAAGAGAGTGGGGATATATATAGCTGGGGTTTTGAAATGCACATGAAATTTACACCAAATTTATTTAAATAAATAAATAATAAAAAGGAAATAAAATTATTGTGTCTTTTTTTTTTTCGTTTAATTAACACCCTACATTTTGAAATTATCGGAAAACCATTCTTTAAAATTTCTGAATGTATCATTTATATCTTTAAAATTTAAATTTATATTAAGAGCACGTTTAATTTGTTAATTTAAGTTGAGATGTGACTTTATATTAAAAATTTTTACTGTAGTAAAAAAGTTAGATGTTATTATTTCTGAGAGTTTTACTGTAACAAAATTTAGGACCCAATTAGTTCGTTGATTCGAGTTTTTAATTCGAGTTGAGATGTGACTTTATGTGAGTTTTTTAATGTGGTAAAAAAGTTAGATGTGACTATTTTTTAGAGCTTTTCACTGTAGTAAAACTCGAATTCTAAACTCGAATCGGTGAAATGAACGGGACCTTAAATTCTAAACTTGAATTGATGAAATGAACGAAACCAAAATTCATATTTTTTTTCTCAAATAACACCATTTTTAATAAAAAAAATAAAGAAACCTAAATGCCTTGAAGAAAAAAAAGAAAATGAATGAAAGAATGTGAAGGATATTTAAGTATTTTTATAGTCAATTTAACTTTTAACGAAAAATGTAAAAATTTAGTATATGATTTAAAATATGATGGTACAGATATAATATAACTCAAAATATAAAGTATATGTTTTAATAATGTTAAAAAAAGGTACAAAATAAGAAAACAAAATTATTTCAATAAATATTTATTTTTTATTTTTTTATTGTTTTGAAATTATGGAACAGGAATTAAGAAGAATCATTTCCACCACGAGTAAAGATAGGGTGACCTGGCTGGCTGACAGCCTTTTTCCCTCTCCAACCCACGTCCCATGTTCCTCTCGAGATTTTCGATTCTTTTTCTTTCTTTTTTTTTTTTTTCATTTTCTCGTCTCGTTTCGAATCTCGGCCGTCCGACAACGGCTCAGCGGCTAGCTCTGACAGCAAGCAGTCACGGTGGTGGGATCGGCTCGGCTCGGCTTATGGCCGCGACTTTCGCACCAAGAGTGTTTCAAATTTCAAAATGACGGGGACACACAACTATTTATGTCCGTGTTTTTTTCGCAGGAGAAATTCCTTGTGCAAATTAATTCATATATTTGTTTTCTTTCAGAGATTTCTTTTTTTTTTTTTTGCTAAAGTTTCAGAGAAAAATATTTTTTAATCACAGACTTGCAGGTGTATCACTGAATCCATAGTACAAAAGAAAATGACAAAGCAAAAGTAACCATTTTTTTTTCTCCTTCGAGAAAAGTATTTTCTTTGTTCTTTTTTTTTCCCTTAAATGAAGTTACTCCTATTTCAGCAAAAAATATAAATAAATTTACTCCAATTCCACTGTAATGTCACTTATATTTTTAGGTCCACTCATTTCACTAATTTAAATTTAAAATTTAAGTTTTATTATATTAAATTTTTTTTAAAAATAATCACATTTTATTTTTTTATTACAGTATAAAATTTTTATATAAAATTATATCTCAATTTAAATTAAAAATTTAAATAAATAAACTAAATAGACCCTTAATCTTCATCACCTTTCTGGATAAAAGAATAATATGAAGTAAATATAAACTAAAGAAAATACACACCCAATTAATAAACACTTTTTTTCTTAAAGATAAAGAAATGGACATGAGATTTCTTTTTCTCGTATCTTACCGGTGTATTTTTCTTGCATTATTTGGTTTAAGGGTTTTTTTTTCCTTGTTCCGTTTTTTTTTTTTTAGGGATTCTTACGTTCTGTGTATTAGAAAAAATATTTGTCAAGTTTGTAAGAATAATATGCTTATAGAAGAGTCCCAAGCATCTAGTTCTTTATAAAATTTTTATTTTTGTTCATTGTTTTTTTTTTTACTAATGAGGAAGAGATTAAATATTGAATCCACAAGATTAACTAACTTTACACCTATAACTCTTTCAATTAAATCATTAGAATCGGTGGAACAACCCAATCATTCGAGATCAAGAAACATATAGCATTAAGACAACTTACAACACCATCAAGAAGCAACACTAATGGACTAAGCAAGCAATCGACATCGAGAGATAAAAAAACCACTTTCGTCATTACACAACAAAATTAAGAACATAACCAAAACACACATGCCCCGTTCACTTCGCTGATTCGAGTTTTTTTACAGTAAAAAGCTCTCATAAACAATCACATCTAACTTTTTTGTTACAGTAAAAAGCTCTCATATAAAATCACATCTCAATTCGAATTCTAAACTCAAATCAGTGAAGTGAACGAGGCGCCACGATAAATATAATTTGTGTTGAAGAAAAATATAAAAGTAGAAAAGACAACGATGAATTAGTTTGGACAAAAAGAGAAATTGTAGATTTTAAAAAAGTTTACTAATGCGATTTCTACAAATTACTTTCAAAATACTTACATACCTATGATTTTACAAATAGCAAATTTATAGAACTACTCAAAACACTCAAAAGGTGGCAAGATTTTTGTACGCTCTAAGTTGAAAGGCCAAGTCTTTTAGTACATGAGAATGAATGGCAAGACTTCCCTCCTACTATGCCCCGACCCGGCCGTTTTTCACCTACCCCGTAACCCCAGTACCTTCTTCACCAGATGAAGCTCCAAGGAATCTCATGCTCCGAGAATTTATTCGTCACCGTTATCAATTCCTACAGGCAATGATCAAAGACTACTCTTTTTGCTGATATTGTTAGTATTTCTTTGGAAATATTCCTTAAAGTATTGATTTTTCTCGTATATTATTCTTTTTTATAGGCAAATTGGTTGGGGAGAGGAGGCTTTGAAGATGTTTTATAGGATAAGTGAGTTTGGGTGTAAACCGACGGTGAGGATTTACAATCATGTTTTGGATGCTTTGCTTAGCGAGAATAGGTTTAACATGATTAATCCGGTTTATACTAATATGATTAAGGCTTTGTACAAGAATGATAGAGTGGATAATGCCCGCAAGTTGCTTGTAGAAATGTCCAATAGGGGGGTGCAAGGAGAATAGAATGGTTTGTGCAAGGAGAATAGAATTGAGGAGGCTTTAGAATGGTCTGTTCACCCTTACGGGGCACTTGGTATTCTGAACAAGTATAACGAGAACAGTTCAGTCATAGCGCTAAAAATCATCTCTTGCTTCTTTGTGGTTATCGTAGTATGGGAAATACCTGGAGTGTTTGATGGTCCGTTTAGTTCGCTGATTTGAGTTTTTAATTTGAATTGAGATACGAATTTATATGAGAGTTTTTTACTGTAGCAAAAAAGTTAGATGTGATTGTTTGTGAGAGCTTTTTACTGTAGAAAAACTCTAATTCTAAACTCGAATTAGCGAAATGAACGGGGCATGAGTTAGTCTGGGGCCCATTCACTTTCTTTCTCGGTCAGTAACTTCCAGAATGTTAATATTTATGTCATAATGTTGCAGTTCACTAACCGAGAGTCATCAACTTGCAGGTTACGCAGATCCAGCTGCAAAAAACACAGGTTCGCCCCTTGCATGATCTATTAGTATTTTGACGTATTAATTTTATTTATAGAATTAATTGACTGTTAAGAAGTATGTTTGATGTTATGTTAATGCTTATGGACTATTTATGAATTTTATGCTTTTAGACTGTTAAAAGAGGTATGAAGTCATAGATTAAAATTAGTTTTTAGCAACCTGAGTAACCCGAGCCTACCCGAGGTTACCCAAAAGGTTGCGGGTTTGTAGACTTAAAAGAGTGTTGCGGCCCAAAATTTTTTCAACCTGCACTGATCGGGTCGGCTCAATTTTTCGGCTCAACCCAACCCTACCCGGCTGATTTACACCCCTAGTATATAAGAAGTATGTATAAGAAAAATATTTAGAACTACCACCGGTACTAAATACCATCACTAATAAAAAAGTGTGCTTAACATGTGAGTTCCCGTCTCGCACTGTAAGATTCACTTTCTATTAGTGGATGATACTTAGTACCACCAGTGCCTTATAACAATACTCAAAATATAACCGTTCTATTAAGTGTTTAGCAAGTATAAGCCCGCTACAACAAGTTCTGTGGGTAGACACTTCCAGCCACTATTACAACCTTACATATATCGAAAACTATACAAGGAATAATTTAGCGTCTGTTTTTCTCTTTAATTTTCCTTTTAAAACTATATATACAAGGAAATACCCATAAAAATAAAAAACCCCTCTTCTTTCACTTTCTTTTTTATTTCTGTATTACTCCAAAAAACACTGTAGTAATTGTATATTATGGTTGCAGAGGAATTTTAATACCAATCTTTTTGTGTGTGTGTGTGCGCGCAATTTTTTTATTTATTTTTTATTTCCAACCAAAAGGAGATATCAAACCAAGTTTTGTGTTGATCTATCAACATTCATCATTGATTACCTTCCAATTAACATCAGGAGAGAGAGAGAGAGAGAGAGTAAAGTAGTTGTGTGGAAAGATGAGCCGATATGGGGTGTGTCCTATTGTGAGTGCAAAAGTGACACTTTTTCTTGCAAAAGATGATAAAAAAAAGGATGACAATAAAGCTTATACCCTACAGTTCAGCATATAAACACTTCCAAAGCTCCAATTCTACAATTTTTTTTTTCCTTGAGTGCTAAAAGAATCCCATATTCGCTTAAGTTCATATATTCTCAAAGATTCTAGCTATCATAGTAAATTTAAATTTTCTCAATTACATGAAAAAATATATGTGCTTTTTCTTTTTGTTGTTGTTGTTGTTGAGGATTAATACTCTTGATTGATTGTGTACTAATTGTGAAAAAAAAAAACATTAGAATAGCTCATAAACATCATCCCTTATATACCTTTAAGCTTGCATGTGCCTACATGTGCTGTATTACAGCCATCTCTCTTTCCCTCTATCTCTCTCAAGTGCATCAATACTGAAGTTGGAGGACAGTTGTTAGG